AATAGCGTATCTTCTATATCATAGCAGGAGCTTATGAAATCATTTGATGAATTCCTCTTTTGGATATACAAATTATAGAAGCAAGTTTTATATATAAACATTTCAGACATATATAAAATCAAATACTGGCAGAGAGAGAATTGGCTTTTTTCTTGTGACTTACTATTTTTCTCCATAACTGTATTGTTCTTCTGATGTAAGCTCTTTAGACCACTGAATACTGATCCACTAATAAATAAATGGTATGCTGCTCATTTTCAGGAAATGAAACACAACTACATTGAAAGTTAAGAGGTTTATATTCAAAAGGTTTATAGTATATATTTTTTGTCTCTCAAGGCTAATGTGCACCAAATTAAAGATGACTTCAGCATGCCTGTTAACATAATTAGCAATTAGCAACTTCATAGTTATCTTAGAATGCTCTAGTACCAATTATCCCATTGCATAATAACATCTCAGAATGATTGTAACATCATAATTAGGGCAGAAGAATACCAACATTTTAAAATAAGAGGCTTCAAACATGGATCAGTGGAGATGACATGAAGCTTGGTTCTAGGACAAGTTTCATAACCTATTGTACTTTCATTATCTTAATGTTATTGTACTTTCATCATCTTAAGAGATCCTATCCTCTATCTTAATGCCTTCTTACTTTCTGACTATCCTCATATCTTGTGATACTAGTGATACTAGTGAGTTCCACAAATTAATTTTGCATAGTACAGGATGCTTGGTCTTCTGTCCATTTCATTAGACCCTCCAACTTCCACTCTTACACAAAAGAAAAAATAAATCTTTTTCTTATTTTGCCACTTTAAATGTTTATTATGCACGTCTTTAGTCAACATTTTTTTAAAAATGTGATAAGTTCTCAAATACTGTACCCATTTCTGCTAGAAAAGGTGTTCCAGCATCAACTCCTCCATTGTTTTTTGGATTTTCCTTGTTTAATCTTTAGTAGTTGTGTTGCTGAGAACGAGAAAGCTATGGCATGTAATAACTAAATGGGGCTGTGCCATGAGTTAAATTGGGGGTCTCCATCTTCTTGGGCAATTGGTGTATTTTCAGCTCTGGGACCATTCATAGAGGCAACATAAGATTTGTAACATGGTGAGGGAAAGGGCTTAACCATTTACGGGTTAACACCCACTTATCAGAAGACAAATTAATGAGGATATTTTTGATAGTCTCTTTTTCCCTCCAAGACATTTTCACTGCCCAGCAACAGTTTTATTTTTGACAAATATTGGTCTAGTGCATTATTCTAAATATGGTGATTATAGAAATTAGTCCTTTGTTGTCCTTTTCCTTAATGTAATACACTGTTAGCAAACAGACACAAGTCATATACAGTAGACCCTTGCAAACATCCATGGACTCAGAGTAAGACCACCTTAAGAAGTACAAATCTATCAATGGCTGCCAGTCATGATTGCTCTAGGTTGTAGAATACTATGCCTCTCTGTAATAAACAATAAGCTCATCCTCATATTCTGTGAACTATTGCATGAAGATCCCATTGTAACTGTTTAAATCATCGTGTAGTTATAATCTCACTTCCATCTCATTCCAAGAGCCCATGGGGACAGGGTAATGTTGTCTTTAGTTGTTCTGATGTGAAATTTGTGTTTTCCCTCTTCTGCTTCCACAAATCTTGCCGGATAGATAATCTACAGTGCCTCAGTGATGCTGCTGGCAATGCTGAAGTCAAAGGCAGGGATCTATCCAGTTCCCATGGGTCACGTAAGCCTACTTCAGGTATGCCCCTCATTCTCTGGTTACTGGGCCCTGCCATCTTCATTCACATTGGCTTGAATTGCAAGAGGGTCCAGAGATCTGTCTTGCACAGAGTAGACCTATCAACCAGGCTTCATTTTGATTTTGACAGTGGAGAATAGATTTGTTCTTAAAAACAAAAAAAAAGAGACGGGGGGACAAAAACATAGTTCTATTCTATCTAACACTTCCTACTATACCTATTAATGTTCAATCAATTTTTACTTTCTTTCATGTGGCAGCCCTTCTGGTTTTCAAGACTGTTGTTCTGAAGGTCTCTAATAGCTTAAAAGTAGTTAATGAGCAATTCCTGAAAGTGATTAGAAAATGAGGTTTGCAAACTTAGCATCCTTTAAAACTTTCCCCTGTGGTTGGAATCAAGATGGCTAATCCTATCATCTCCCAGCATTCAAAACCATGGAAAAACACTGTTCTGCAGT